TAGCTTTCTTTGGAATAACTTGCCAATTGAAATAAGGTCATTAACTAGACTGTCTGCTTTCAAGCGAAGACTGCACATTTATCCTAATACTGATTATAGTAACCTCTTATTCTCCTAATCTTTTCCGAGCAGCTATCTCCATGAGTCCAAGACAGGGCCATCTGCCTCGTGTCCCCCAGTCACCCAGATTTCTCCATTAACCACCGCTCAATCAAAGGAAGCCACATCGACGTATTCGGTCTAAGCTGCTGCCGTTTCGTTGGCTACCAACCATCATCAGAATTCCTACACCTATTTCTACCCTACTACTATGTCTTATCTGCCTAAGTAGTTTTTTTCTCTTACACGCTCTTTTGAAAATGGAGGCCCGTTGAACTCTGCCTCCATTTTCACTGATTTTTCTAAACTGCCTTTATTTTTAAGTTCACAATTAACTGCAAAACATCACCAAATATTGCTCTATAAGGACAATTTCTTCTGACATTATCACACATTTTTAAGTTTATCTGCGCACATCGTCAAATTCGTTTTTGATTTTTCTTTACGAAACTAATTTTGTATCGATAGTGCCTTTATGGCGCTAACAAATATGGATTCCAAATTCCTTGTTATCCGTCTCTTTCCCAAATACACAACGTTTGGACTTTGAAATAGGTCTTCCTGATATTTGAGGCTGTTCTATTTATATTTAATTGTTTTCCATATACAGTAGGTGGACAATCTCATGCAATCCTACGATTTTTACAAGTAACCTTACAGTAGGTTCACTATCTCATGAAATCCAACGATTTTTACAAGTAACTCCTCTTACTCAAACGCAGCCCAAGCTGTGGCCACCAAAGTCTTACAGCAATAAAGTAATGATCATTCTTCACAATAGGGCATATCCCCGAAGTCTTACAGCAATAAAGTTATGATCGTTCTTCACAATAGGGCATATTAGTAAAGGAATATAACGTTTTATAGAAACACCAGCTTCTTTAACAAAGTGGAAAATTCAACGTTTTATAGGAAACACCAGCTTTATTATGATTTATGAAGGAATATAACGTTTTCTAGAAACACCAGCTTTTTTAACAATTATTTATGAAGGAGTATAACGTTTTATAGAAATACCAGCTTTTTTAACAAAGTTGGGCGTACTAGGTAAACTTAAGTTTTGCATGTAAAGGAAGCCCGTTCATGCAGAACCACTGAGTAAATAAAGCAGCACAACTAAAATTACATTGGCATATAATAGTTTTGTCAAGTTTTTGAATAAATATGCTTCAATATTACGCGCAAAATAATGTATGGCGGTATTCAAGTTTTCGAATAAATATGCTTCCATATAACGTGCAATATAGTGTATGGGTGTTACCAAGTATGTATTCTAACACGTTTTCACGAGAACTGCCAGTTGTTTCTTTCGTTTGTGCATCGCTTGACTTATGTTGGACTAAGGCAACCACATTTTCGCTAATTATGCCCCATTGGGAGATCATAGGAGTAATATATTGCTTAAGCTGTCTTGCGGACATGCCGGTCACTGACTAATAAATTTAAATAGAATTGTGGGGAACAATTTTAAACGTACCATTT